AAAGCAGCCACTACTCATAGCCACTGAACCGTAAGAGCAGCAACAACAAAACCCGACACAATCATAACACGATCTAAATGCTGTTTCTATTTCTTGGTCCTCCTTTCTCCAAGCTGGAAACTGTGTCCTGCTTAGTCCTTAGCAGCACTCACTTCTCTTGAGGCCTCAGTTGTTACCGTTGTGGGTGGAGCCCTTGGTGCCAGCCTGTGAGCTCGTGGGCTTTCTAGTCATGCCCAGTTATAGAATGTTATGCCGAAGCCACCTGTGGTAGCCCGTTGCAGAGTGCAGTGAGCCTTGGCCGAATTATAAGCTACCAAGTGACCGTAGACATTTACCGATTCTTTAGCTCCCTACCCCTCCATACTAGGGATTCAACCAACATAGGCCGGGCAACACTCATCCACCAGTTACAATGCCTGCTTCAATCCACATAGGCCGGGCAACACTCATCCACCCAGTTACAATGTCTGCTTTTACTTTCTTTTCTTCTTTTTAAGATTCATTTATTTATTATGCATATAGTATTTTTGCCTGCATGTATGTCTGCAGGCCAGAAGAGGGCACCAGATCTCATTACAGATGGTTGTGAGCCACCATATGGTTGCTGGGAATTGAACTCAGGACCTCTTGAAGAGCAGCCAGTGCTCTTAACCACTGGCTGTCTCTCCAGCCTTTTACTTTCTTTTTTGAGACAAGGTTTTGCTAAGTTATTCAGGTTGGTCTTGCACTCTGTGATTGAGGAAGGCCTCGAAATTAGGATCTTCCTGCCCCAGCCCCCTGCCTCTACCCCCCACCCCCCTCCAAGTACCTGAGAGTTTAGGCCTCTACCACCATGCTCAGCTGCAGGCGGGGTTTTACGTGATTTTAAACGTGTGCGTACTCTGTGCCTGGCTGGGCTCGTGGCACACACACATGCAATCCCAGTGCCCTGTGAGGCCAGACCATCACGAGTTTGAGCCCAGTGCTGCTCACGAGATCCGCTCACAAACACAGCCTTGGTCCCAGCTGTGCAGGGCCCGGGTTTCGCCGTCCGCACTGTAGAAAAACCGTCTCTATCTTCTGGGTGTGTGGACATATACTACTGTGTGCTTGATTGGTGGGGGAGACTGTCACCTGCATTTAACCTTTTTATGCAAAACAGTTAGGTTTTCCTTTGTATCCAGGAAAGAACTGAGAGGCCAGGCTAGGGCGGCAAACAGGAGATGCGTGTCATCAAAACCGAATCAATGCTCAGTTCCCAAATCTGTCTGTGGCCGGGAGCAGGTTTTCCCTTTCTTTCTAGAAGGCAGATGTGAAAAGCGGTTTCACTTTTGCTATGAGAGATACACAGGTCCACCAGCAGAGGGCGCCAGCTGTGGGCTGCAGCTCCGGGAAAGGAAGAGAGTCCCGGGAAAGCTTGCCAGCTGTGAAGCCCGTAGGTGTGTGGAGGCTGCTTCCTGGGGCTGTAGTCAGTGGGCTTTGCTTTGGCTCTCTCGGGGGTAGTGGTCGGGGTGACTGTTTGGGGCCCTGGGTGCTTTCCCAGGGCACTTTAAGTAGTTAGAGTTCATTCAGCCAGCGGCCCCGAATCTGGGAGGGACTTTTGCCAGTAGAGATGAGCGTGGGCTGTACTCTGGGCCCAGTCTTGCCTGGTCCTTGCTGGCCTGTCGGCGATAGTGGTTACTGGGGGAGTCTGACAGCCCCGCAAACGTCCTCTCACCATGACTAATTTTTCCCTTGGGTCAGGGATGTTTAACAGCCTCAAAGAAGGCAGAGGAACTCGGTGCTGCCAGATGCTTCTCATAGGCCAGCTTCTCTGCTGAGTGCTTCTCTTCCTTAAACCTAAGAAGTCTTGGAGGCAGCTACTGATGTTAGCCCCAGTTCATAGAAGGGAAAATCAATGCTGCTAAAGAGACATGTACAGGGCTTCTATCTGGCAAGCTCATTTCTGTCGTGCTCTGGGAGGATATCCAAGTCCGTGTGAGCTTCTCGTTTAGCTGTGCAATCCAGTCACCCATGGGGTTCACTAAACTTCCTCATCCTGGGCTGTGATGTCACAGGTGTGAGGGAGAGAGGGCCTAACTGTCCAGTGTTCTTTTTGTAATATGTAAATTTATGTGGAATCTCCCCTTCTGAGTGTACAGGTTTTAAGACAGATTTGACTCTCAATTGTATAAGTATGTGTAGGAGTGTGTTTGCAGATGTGCATGTGTGAATGTAGGTACCCTTGGAGCTGGAGCCCCAGGTGGGTTGTGAGTCACCTGCCATGGGTGCTGGGGACCGAATTCAGGCCCTTGGTGAGAGCAATGCATGCTTTTAACCACAGAGTCATTTCTCTGGCGCTCCCCAGACCGTCACCCTGATAGTTCCTTTGCAAAGCCTTTTGGTCCCGGATGCTGATGCTTTGAATGGGCTAGGTAGAGGGCAAAGATACACAGCGTGACTTGAGACACAGTGCTGTGTTAGGGTACCTGCAAAGCATTGGAGGAGGGAAGGGGAAACCGGAAGAGAGTCAAAAGGGCACTTATGGGAAGGCATGGTTGGCTTAGGCGTCTCCAGATGAAGTCCTGGCTCCCCGTGCTGAGGCAGAGAATAGAAGGAAGAACTTCCTAGACTAAATCAAGACTAAAAGTGTTTTCCTTTCCAATCCTGACTCTTCTCAAGCAACACACACACACACACACACACACACACACACACACACAGAGAGAGAGAGAGAGAGAGAGAGAGAGAGAGAGAGAGAGAGAGAGAGAGAGAGAGAGAGAGAGATGGAGGCAGGGTTCCGAGAGTGAGGCTGATGCATGACGTCATCACTCTGAATGACCACCAGATACATTGCTTTAGGGTGGAGGTCTGGGGTCACCGGTGCGTGCTTGGTTGGCTGGGAGGGAGCATGAGGCATGGAGGAACCCGGGTGGTGTCAGTAGCGGGCTGTGGTGTAACTTCAGGACAGTTCACAACAGGAAGTTCCCTCCAGACCTTTTGCCTCCCCTGCTAAAACCGAAGCAGCCCCCCTCTTAATCTGAGCCCTGTCTGGAGGGGCAGCCCAGACGCTGTTTGGATAGTAGGTAGATGTAGTAAAATGTGTCGGAGACATTTCCAGCAGCACTTCAGAAGGCTCTTGGCTGGGCTCTACCCTTGGTTTGGGTAGATGGCTTTCCTGGGTGGCCTTCCCCACACCTGGCTCGTGGATAATGGGTGGTGGGTGTGACTCTGGTGCACACTGCTGGTTAGTGACGCTGGCAAGAACAGGCTGTGAGGAAACCACTCGGAGCTTCATATTGGCTCTAATAATTCACCTTGGATGGTGAAGATGTCCAGACCGTAAGTATTTCCTTTTCAGATTTGTCTCCCCTTCCTCTTTCCGGTACGGTGAAGACATGAATGAGGGCATACACAAAGGGAAGTGAGTTTCACGTCCCTCTGTGACTCACCCAGCCGTCTCCCTACCCTAGATACGTGCCTGCAACCCTGGCGCAGATTCTGGGATCCCACTTCCTTACTTGTGATGCTCAGCTGCTGTGGCCCCCGTGATTGATGGCCAGAGGAAATATCTGGAACAGAGCCGCGGAGCTGATTAGAGGAGGAAGGGAAGTGGCGGGAGAGAGATAGGGCTTGGTTGTGAGAAAAATGAAGATACAGGGCTGTTGGGTGTGACTGTCACTCACGGCTCTTCCCATCCGAGGGACAATGGCTTGGGCAGTGGTCCCAGCTAAGAGGGCGCTGCGGTGTTGGGGAGATGAACTTCGAGACTCACACCTTAGCCAGTTTGTGGTCAGAATGCTGCGTCGAGTTCAAGCTGCTCACACTTCTAGTTTCTTTGCTTGACGACTTGATGTCCGCGCAACGCCGACGGGATCTAACAGGTCAAAATGAGAACAGCAGCACGCACGGTGAACACCTTTTGTTTTCACGGGCATCACGGCAACGCCACAGACACGAGGGCCCAGTGAAAGCTTCTTTCTAAGCAGATGTCCAGGGCACACTGAGGAGGAAACTGGGGCTTTGGTAGGATCACAGCTCTAGCTGAAAGACACCAGGGACTGTCTCGTGGATGAGGGATCGAGTGTGGCGTCAGGAGCAGCGAAAAGACCACCAAGCTGAAGGCCCCAGCCAGTGTGTGCTTGAGTGGTTCCAAAGATGCCGGGTGTGTTGGCGGGCGACGAGTCCTAGAACGGGGTCACCCGCGTGTGCTCTTTCTGCTCTGCCAGGGAAGCTGCTGAGCCCATTTTCACCGCTAATTGACCCAAAGATCCCTGAGCCTGGTTATGTGCAGGAGACACAGCTAGCTTCCATTTCCACAAACAAGATTGTCCCCTAGCCCGAGAAAGAGGCGCGCAGACAATGAGCTCCCCAAGACACTCTCACAGGAGATGAACAAGCAGAGCAACGCCCTTTGGAGTTGTTTTGGAGGCCGTTGGCTGTCACTGGTGTGACTTAGGGGAGGCTTTAGAAGACCTGAAACCTATTGCCCTTCCATAGACACTCAAGGACCGAGGTTGGGGGAGCCGTTCCAGGCAGGGCCAACAGCTGGAGTGAACAGAAGCTTTGGTTAGACCCTGGGGCTCAGCGGGAGACACGTGAGTGGGAGCCACCGGGGGGGGGGCTGAGTCTCAGCACGGCAGACAGGCAGACGGTAGAAAGCTGTTCTGTTATGGTGGTCTTTCAGGGTCGCCCGGGGCGACAGCTCGGCAGTGTTCTTGAGGTGATCACTGCAATGATCTTTGGTGGGTTTTTTTTTTGTAACACGTGGTGGGGAGGCTTGTTTTGTTTCAGTTACGAACCTCCCCCCCTCCCCCGTACATAACAACACAATCTGGCTCTAGCCCCTATGTCTAATTAATTCTTTGTCATTTCAGTTCTGTGACACCAACCACCCAAATCCCACTTGTCCTATGGTCGCATGTCAGAACACCTGTGGGCTTGGGGAGGGGAATTAGGCAGAGCTGATGCTATTCACACGTGGATTTCCCCAGGTGGGTAAACTCCACCGCAGGCCACAGAGGGGCCTCCTCATTCCAGCAATCTGGCCTGGCCCACAGACTCAGGCAAGGAGGAGGAGAGAAGGAGGGGCAGCCGTTCTCCCTCAGGAAGGATTCCTCTGGTGCTTTGCTTTGCGGCAGAGGAGGCAGGAGACCGTGGGGTGGGCTAGTCGCCGGGGCTGGGGATGCCTGAGCAGATGAGGAAACAGTTGGAAAGGTGGTTTAGCCCTTGGGTAGCCACCACCGAAGCTGTGGCTGTTCCTAGGAGACAGAGAAGCCAGCCAGCGGGGGAGGGGGAGCGAGCGGGTTTCTGCTTTTAGCAGCTGAAAAGGGCTGCAGCGAGCTCTGGGCGAGACATTTTCTACCGCCGCCGCTTTAGTAGCTTCTGCGGTAGAAGCTGCCGCGAGTAAGTCGGAGGAAGGAGGACCGGGAGGGAGGAGGTCTCAGTTGCAGCCATGCTGAATCACTGTTGCTGATCAGAATCCGTCACGGGGCTGCTGGGAGAACCCAGAGAGCAGCGCCAGTTCCCGGGTGCATGCACAGTTTGGTGGCTGCTAACCCCGCCCGGCCTCCCACAATGGAGGGCGAAAGGTACGTATGTGTAAGCATGGTGTGTGCAGTATGCTTGTGTAAGCAAACGTGAGCTTCAGGTGCAACCCCTTCACGGCATCTGTGTTTGCATCGGGTGAGGCAGGGTTGCAAGTCCTGGTCACTACGGGGTCCCAAAGCAGAGTGAGGGCAGGAAAGTTCCTTTGGGAACCTACCTCTTCCAGGACACAAGGCTGTAGAGAGCCGGCTCCTGCCAAGGCAAGTCTGGGTTTGCTGGGCAGTAAAGCTCGCCAAAAGAAGGAACTTCCAGGCTGGCTTTGGGGAAGAGTTTCCTCGTGGCTTGGGTGAGGATTGCCCTTTCAGGCTGCCTCAGGGAGGCGTTCCCTTTCCCCAGGGTGTCTTTCTTTGGTGGGGGGTTTTGATGTCATTGCAGGGCTAGTCTTGGTGGTTGAATCTTCAGGAAAGATGCCAAGTGGATAGCTTTCCTAAAAAACGAGTCTGTATATGTACGTTGCTGGACACTGGCTTGTGCGCTGGCATGGGTGGGAGCAGGAGGAACCCAGTCAAATGACATTTGCACACAACCGGTTTTGTCTGCATCAGAAAGTTTGGGGGCTGCTGCAAGGTCTGTCTTAGAGGAACCCGCAGACTTTTAGCGGAATAGGAATCGGCAGAAGGCGTTTAAGTGCTTGTGTCCAGGCAGGAACGAAAGCAGAGCACATAGAGTTTTACTTTGTCTGGGGAGCCGCTCCTCCCGTTGTGAAAGTGCTCAGGTCCAGACTACAGATCCGAAGTCTGAGCACCGCCACCTCCTCACCCAGGGGTTGGTGCAGAGAACAGGCTATGCCATTTTCCTCGAGGAGAGGAGATCACGGGGAGGGCCAGAAGGCTTTCCCTCCAAGCTGGGAGTTTGCTGGTTCTCTGGGAACAGGCTCCGCTCAGTTGGGGCTGACACCTCTGGAGAGGACCTTGAGGAGAGAGAGCACAGCTTGTCCTGACTCTGGTGGAAATAGCAGTGGGGTTCCCTTCACTCTCCTGTCTGAAAAAGCCTTAGACATCAGAGCTTCTCGACATCTCTCTCACAGGAAGAGTCTAGGCCAGTGGTTCTCAACCTTCCAAACACTGTGACCCTTTAACACTGTTCCTCACGTCGTGGTGACCCCGAACCAAAATTATTTTCGTGGCTACTTCATATCTGAAGTTTTGCTACTGTTACAAATCGTAATGTAAAAATTCAATGTCTGATATTCAACCCCTGTGAAAGGGTCATTTGACCCCAAAGGGTCATGACCTCCAGGTTGAGAATCACTAGCCGAGGACTTTTTCAGTATGCTGCCTCATGGCCGTTTTCTTTCTGGGCTCTCCTTTGTATCAGCCGCCTGCCCCCAGCAATGGGACATCTAGAGGCCTCTGGGCACAGGTGGATGGTGCCCTTGCCCTCTCTCACCGTCTGTAGCTAGCCGAGGAAGGTGTGAAGTTCTGGACATGCCTGTCACATGACTCAGCGCATATCTGGGCTGCGGTTGGCATGAGACCGATGCCACTGGAACATTTGGGGGACAGCGATTGTGTCTACAATTCAGTGCCCACAAGCCCTTACATCGGAGAACTTCTTACTGCTCAGGGGGGAGTTGATGTCCATGGCTGAACACCCGGGTGCGTTTGTCTATTAGAGGCTGTCCACAGACAAGAAACCCAAGTTGAGACTTTCCAACATTCACCAGGGCTGCCCAGGTCATTGCTTTTTGTTCCTATACTAGGGACAGCCTACTGCCAAACAAATAAGTTCTTCGATTTGTCTCCTGTCTCTTTCCAAAGCCTATCCACCCATCACCAAGAGTTCTGTTGGCATCTTTGAGGATGGCTCGCACTCCTCTCCTCTGGGTACAAATCCTCATTCTCGGAGCTCTTTATGTTAATACTTCTCTTCCCATCTCATCAGAAAACTCAGCTTTTTTAGTCTTCACTGATGTTCTTACATACAAACCTGTTTTTTGGTGGGTTGTGGTGGGGGGAGGTTGAGACAGGGTCTCTCTATGTGTTCTTGGCTGTCTCAGAACTCATGTGTAGACCAGGTTGGTCTTGAACTCACAGAGATGCACCAGCTGCTGCCTCCAGAGCGCTGGAATCAAAGACGTGCACCATCTTACCTGGCCAGACCTCTTATTTGTGTCTTAGAACCAAGTCCAGCAGGGTTTTTTTTTTTTTTTGTGCTTCTGTTTCATGTAACTTACAAGTCCTCAAACCCGGGGACATGTCCTCATACATAAGGACGGTGTCTTGTACGTCTTCCTTCATATTTCTCGCCGGCCACTGTATGGTTCCGCCAGCAGCAGGAGCTGGGCGGCAGTAATCTTCCAGTTAACTGATGATATAATCCAGTTTCATTACTTCTTTGAGAATTCCTTACAATGCATTTTGATCACGTTCATCTCCCTTTCTGCACACTCAACTCCGGGATCCATTCCCCGCCCACTTCACCCACCCGTCTTCACGGTCCTCCCGTGCCCTCTCTCTGGTCCTCCCCGCCCAACCATGTGAGTCTGGCTTGTGCTGTCCAGTTACCACTGTTGGTGGGCCTACCCTGCAGTGTGGTCAGTATTCCAGGTGTCACACCACTAAAGAAGCCTGACGCCCCCTCCCAGGGGTCTCCTTGGCTAGGGGTGGGGCTTTGTGCCCCCCCCATGTTGGGATTTGTGCGGCTTGAGCTGGCACAGATCTTGCGGATGCTGTCGTAACTGCCGTGAGTTTACGTGTGCAGCTGCCCCGTTGTCTGGGAAAGCGTGGTTTCCTCGAAGTGCTCCACCACCTCTGACTCTTGCTCCCTCTGGGGGGAGGGGTCACGATTCTCTGCATCTTGGCCTTATCTGGTGACTCTTGTGAGGAACTCCAGTAACTGAAAAGGTGGGAGAACAGATCGAAATTCCTGAACGTCCTTGGCAGGTTACCTCAGCTCCACTCGAGATGCCTCGACGTGAAGGAAGAAGCTCTGGCTCATGAGTTCCCAGGAAACCAAGGGTTAAAGCGGAGTGGTTGGCCCAGGTCGTGAGCCAGCCAGACCTCCAGGGAGTAGAGGTTTTCTGATCCTCGTGCCTGTTCCACATTTAACCTGCTCAGACGTAATTGGGGCTATTTTTAAGCATTAAAACATTTCAGCCAAAAGATTTCTATGAATAATTTTCTTCCCTTGCTATGAGGGTACGAAAATACCCTTTCCCTTGAATATTATTAATTGAAAGTGTGGGCTTAGTGAAGTATTTCACAAGCCATGTGACCTTGTGCGTATTGCATTTGTACTGAGCTACTTTTTATATGTAAAGGGAATAACAACCTTATTCTTTGTGGGGTTGTTGTGAAGATGAAACGAGCTGGCATGTGCACAGTACCTAGTTCGTTTTTTTTTTTCTGGCATGGTGTAAGTCTTCCAGTAGGGCAGCTACTGTGATCCCTGGACCCTCTATTGCTGTGCTGTGCCCTGAGATGCTAACCAAGCCTTTAGGATTTTCCTATATCAATTATCCAAAGCAGATAATGTGGGGCTGGTCACACAGGGGACACAGAGGGAAAGCTTAGCACCTTACTTACAGAGCGAGGTGCCTCACGTCGCTTGCATTTCATTTCGTTTTGTTTTTTTAAGGTTTCTCCGAGATCTATTTTTACCTCCCTTTACAGATGCCATGCGGCACCTAGAGGCCCCAGTGGGCATGAGCTGAGTGCTCCTTGCTCAGGCTAAGACCTCAAGAAGAGCCAGTGGAGTTGCACTTCCTCTGCTCCATCCCAGAGCTCCCCAGCTTCTGAGGCTAAAGCTTCCTCTGTGGGGCGTCACCAAGGCGATTTGGGGTTCAGATCCACAAAGGGGCTCCGGCTCTTTGTGACTCCCCCTGTCCCCTCGTTCCTCCCCTTCCCCTCTTCTCTCCGACACTAAAATGGCAGTTTCCCTCGCTGTTGGGGTTTTACTTTAGATTGGAAAATCAACCTCGTGGATGGATTAAAATAAATTTTCCGCTTTCAAGATAAACTCAGTTCGTAGCAACAGAAAGTGAGGCGGTTGCCAGGGGGTGGAGAAAGGGGAGTAGGGAATTGCTTCACAGGTGTGGGGGTTCAAATTTTGAAGGGACGTTGTAGAGATGGACGGTGGTGGTGGTCACGTGGCAGGTCTGTGGGCTGCACGATAAAACTTAGAAATTTTGCTGTGTATGTTAGACATACATAGACACAGACAGACAGGTACACACAGATATGCACACAGACAGACAGACAGACAGACAGACAGACACACACACACAGAGACAGAGAGAGAGAGACAGACAGAGAGAGAGAGACAGACAGAGAGAGAGAGACAGAGAGAGAGACAGAGAGAGAGACAGACAGAGAGAGAGAGAGAGACAGAGAGAGAGAGAGAGAGAGAGAGAGAGAGAGACAGAGAGACAGAGAGAGAGAGACAGACAGAGAGAGAGAGAGACATCCTGAAGGTCCAGACTGGCAGACCTGCAGTGTTTTCAGAGAAAGGCATCTTTTAGTAGAGACGTCATCAAAAGGAGAAGCGGGCTGCTCATTTTTCTGGAAGCTGTGTGGTTTTCATCACAGAAGGGGTGGGATGCTCCCACCAGAGAAGGCTTTCAGGCCCAACTCTGCTGAGACCTCCTGTAAGGTGTCCCTACTAGCCGGTCTCCTTGGCTGGCTCCTATTGATGGGAGCCTGCTGGTGCGCCTCAGGGAGCCCCTGGGGTGAAGGTGCTTGTGTGTTTGTCCTGGATAGCAGCAGACAGAGAAACACCGTGGAGACAGCCAGGAAAGCCGGCCTTCCTTCCCCGACCCTGAATTTGCATCTACAGGTAAATGCTGGCGAGACCCGGTCACTTAGTCCTCTCCCTGGCCCTGAAAGCCAGGCATACTCACTTGTGTAGGAATGCTGCTCTCACAGCTCAGCACTGCTCGCCATTACAGGGCTGACAACAAGTCCCATTTCCGTTTGGATCCTGAGCTTTTTTTTTTCAATGTGAAAAGGGAACAAAAGTCAGCAAAGGGGACTTTCTGTTTTTT